TGCCAGCTCCTTGGGGTCCTGCTGTCCCCCTGGGGTCCCCGCCAGCTCCTTGGGGTCCTGCTGTCACCCTGGGGTCCCCGCCAGCTCCTTGGGGTCCCTGCCATGACCCCGGGGTCCCCACCAGCCCCCAGGGTCTCACTGTCACCCTGGGGTCCCTGCTAGTCCCCTGGGGTCCTGCTGTCACCCCGGGGTCCCTACCTGTTCTTGTCAATGATGATGGCGGGGCCAGGGACGGTGTGGTCGCAGGCCAGCTCCTCCAGCAGGAACACCGGCGTCTCCAGGTACCCCTCCTCGAAGTAGCACTGTGTCACCTGCAGGACCCAGCCCGAGCCCCCAGCCCCACGCCGGGTCATCCCCTGCTGCCCTGGGCCCCCCCAGACCCTCCCTGCCCTCACCGTCTCCACGCGGGCTGGTTTCCCGCTGGGGGCCAGGGGGGTCTCGCAGCTGATGCCGCTGCTGCCGGTGCCGCGCACCCGCACGTCGTCCACCACCACGGGGCGGTCGGGGATGGTGAAGCCGAACTCCACCATGTACCTGCGCGGTGGGAGTGGGCGCCAGCTGCGGCGAGGGGGGACTGGGAGACACCCGGCCCCCCCCGGCATGGTGTGGCGATGCTGGGACGGGGATCACAGTGTCAGGATGGGGATCGTGGTGCCAGGACGGGGATTGTGGTGCTGGGATGGAGATCATGGTGCTGGGGTGGGGGTTGCAGCACTGGGACAAGGATCGTGGTGCAGTGACGGCAATCATAGTGCCAGGACACGGATCATGGTGGTAGGATGGGGATTGCGGTGCCAGGACGGGGATCGTGGTGCTGGGATGGGGGATTGTGGTGCTGGGATGGGGATTGCAGCACTGGGACAAGGATTGTGGCACAGTGATGGGGATTGTGGTGCCAGGACGGGGATCATGGTGCTGGGATGGGGAACATGGTGCCAGGACACGGATCATGGTGGTAGGATGGGGATTGTGGTGCCAGGACGGGGATCATGGTGCTGGGATGGGGAACATGGTGCCAGGATGAGGATTGTGGTGCTGGGTTGGGGATTGCAGCACTGGGATGGGGATCGCGGTGCTGGGACGGGGATGGCGGCGCCGGGACGGACCGGCTGGTGAAGGCAGCGTGGAAGTCTCCGGAGCGGCAGGAGTGCGAGGTGGGAGGGTGGCCCTTGGCCGAGCACATCAGGGCGCAGTCGGTGCCTTCGTAGCGCAGGTGCAGGAAAGCCTCCGTGCGGATCTGCTCCCTGCGGGGCAGCCCCATCAGCGAGGGGGAATGGCATCGGCATCATCCCGGCGTTCCCGTCCCCCCGCCCCGGGACCCCTGACGGCTCACCCGGTGAAGCCCTGTGCCTGCAGCGCGTCCCGGCACTCCCGCTCCAGCGCGGCGAT